TGTGCCCCAGTTCCATGACAAAGCCGGCAGCTCAGCCTCACACACCGGCCTTCCTCTGCACGGGGGGGGCAGGGGGGCTGAGATGGGACATCGGGAGACGCAGGGGGACTTTCTCGCCCAGAGAGACACGGCAGGCTGGCATCCCCACTCTCTGGAGTGCCCCACAGGGTGGCTTTTTGTGTGGAAATGCCGGCAAATCCCTGGGAAGCTGCCCTCTGCCTAGCTGGGCAGGTCAGCAGCACCCCGCAGCTTTGCCAGGCGTGAACTGGCACAATCGGTTGTGCAAGGGGGTGGGGGGGGGGAGAAGCAACGTGGCAGCGAAACCTCATTTCTTTTTAAAAGCCCCCCGTGGGGTCTGGGTGCAAAGCCCGAGGGCCCTTGGCTTGGCCCCCTCCTCCCAGTTCTTGGAAGAGGACTAGGAGACCCCCAAGGCCCCTTCCAGTGTTCTGTTATCCTTGGGCTCCCCCGGGGGGGCTGCTTGGAAGCCTGGCGGCTGCTGCAAATACCCCCCCCCCGCTCACTGACTGACACAGGTGGGGGCCACGGCCTGAGGCTGCCGGTGCGAGAGAGATGCAGCCCCAGAGGCAGCCCGCAGCCTTCCTGGGTTGGGCCACAAATGGAGCAGGCTGTGCTCCCCTCTCTTGGGAGCCCCCTCCTCAGCAAGGAGACTGGCCAAGGGGCCCATTGGGCCTGAGCAGGCCGATAGCCATGCCTCGGGGGTTGAGAGGAGGCCCCCGGAGGCAATTAGGGGAGGGGGCTCCTCTCCTGGAAAGTGACATCCGAATGAAGCCCCCTCTGGCAGCCGGCCCCCCCTTTGCTGACCCTCTGTCCAGCGGGAGGGGCCCCTGGCTTTACCTGCTGAGTCTTTCCAGGGGAGGAGGGAGCCCCTCCCTGATGAAGCCCACCCCCACAGCACCGGGGAGAGCAAGGCAAGGGGGCTTCCCTCCAGTAGCCACAGGTGGGAGTGGGCTGGTCCTCAGCCTGCTGCTGGGGAAGCCTCTCTAGGGGTGGGGGGGGGCAGAACCAAAAGTGGGGGCCGCTCCTAGAAGAGCACCCCCGTTTCTGCCTCTGCCAGCTTGTGGCACCGTTTGTTCAGCAATTCTGTACCAAGGCTGTAATTAGCCTGGAAAGAAAGCCGCCATGCACACACACACACACACACACACACACACACACACACACCCCGCCGTGAGAAGATGCCGGACTGTCTCTCTCGGTCGCCTCCTTTTACGCTTCTATTCAGCATCAGTCAGGGAGATGTCTTCCAGCAGCCGTTAAAAAAATAGATTAATTTAGGTATTAAAGGAGCTGGCACCAGTGGCTGGGTTTAGCCTTCATGTTTCGACTTGATTGCCCCCGGGCAGCAAAACTCGGCTGCCGTTTGGCGGGGAAGGTGAAGGTAGACCTTGCTGTGCCCTGGAGGCTCCCCGCCTAGGGAATCTCTCCCAGGAGGCTGCAGCGCCAGGCCGAAGGACGAGCCCTCCGCAAGCTGGGCCAGAGCCAGCCAAAGCGGTCGTGGCTGAGCCGGAATCAGACTTTTTGGGGGGGCGGGCGAGGGTCCCCCAAAGTCGAGCCAGAAAGAAGAATCTTCGGGATGCACAAAGGGGGGGTCCGGGCTGCTTCTGCACTTGCTTTGTACGGGAAGGGCTGGAAGGAGCAGCCAGTTGGCAGGCAAAGCCCCCCCCCCCGCTGCATTCCCACAAGTTGGTTTCAGTCCAGTTGCCTTTTGAGAATGCACCTTTGAAGTCCCCATTGACTCCTTTCCAAAGTGTGGGTCACATACCAAGCGTAGGGGGGGATCCTTGGGGCTGGGGTGCTCCCTCCGGGCCTCTCCTTTGGCCCCTGTGCTGCCCTCCTGTTTGCCAGCTTTGGATGAAGCGAACATGGCAGGAATCTGCCCCCCCAGCCCCCTCCAAAGGCCACAGAGCCCCCCTTCTCTCCACCCCAGGAAGCAGCCCCTGGCTTCTCTCAAAGAGCTGCCCCCCCCAGGCAGGTGAGGGATGACATAGAGCAGGGGTCTCCAACCTTGGCACTTTAAGACTTGTGGACTTCAACTCCCAGAATTCCCCAGCCAGCTTTGCTGGCTGGGGAATTCTGGGAGTTGAAGTCCACAAGTCTTAAAGTGCCAAGGTTGGAGACCCGTGTCATACAGCCTATTCTGGGCTGGGCTTAGACTGAGAGGCACCCTCGGGGTTGGGGTACCTCGCTGGCTCCAGGGCCCTCCCCGCTAGTGGAGATCAGCCAGCTCTGCGGTGGGGGGGGCAGAGGCTGCAGGCGATTCGGCTGAGGAACCGGGTGGTCCCCTGAGGCAGCCACTGGTCCCACGGGGGGGGGGAAAGCAGGAACGGGAGGGGGCTTCTGCAGCCACCAGAAGAGAAGAGTCGGTGGGCAGTTCTGGATTGGGGGCTCTTGGCTGGGACTCCCATTCTGCCCGGAGAGTGAAGCTTCCTGGGAGGCGGGGGGGGGTCCCTGTCCCCACTTTGCTGCTTGGAATCTCTGCCCTTTTGCGCCCCCCCCCCTTTCCGGGACAGCCGTGAGTCCTTGGAGAGGCCGAAGCAGACTCTCTTCCGGGAAGGGCACCCCGGCAGGCAGAGAGGGCGGCGGGGGGGGGGCGGCCTGTTTTGCCAAATGGAAGCGGAGCCGGGAATCGCCTCCGTAGCCGGGCCGCCCATCTGACTGGCCCCGGGAGCTTTTGCCAGGCCGCCCCTGCGAGTCGGCGGCCTCTGAGCAGGCCGGAGGGCCGGGCAGAAGGGGCTCCGTGAGGCCAGTCGACGTGCCCGGTCGGAGCTGCTGGGGCCCAGGCTCCGGACGCGCGTCTGAAGCGGCTGCCGGCGCCGCGGGGAAGGCTCGGCGGAGGGAGCAGCCGCTGGCGCTGCGTCTCTGCGCGGAGGCCTGGCCAGGCGCGCACGTGCCCGGGGGCCAGGTTGGAAGCCGGCCCGGTGCCAGCAGCCGCTCGACATGCTCGCTGGCGTCGGCCGGCTTGTGGGAAAGCAGCGTTTTCCAGGAGGGCCTGGGAGGGAATCCGGAGCTCCGGCGGTTGCAAGGGGCCGCTGCCCCCGCTGCTGAACCCACCTGGCTGCGGCTCCCGGGCGGGGGGGGGCGTGAGGAGACTCCCGGCCTTTGGCACGAGGAGCTCCCGGGAGCGGCTCTCCCATTTACGGCCTCTGCGGTGCCAGGTCAGGCCGAAGGAGCGCCGGATCTGCCGCCGAGGCGGAGGGGCAGCGATCACCTGGAGGGCAGCGTGGAGGCTGGGGGGCAGCTGGACAAGCTAGAACAAGGGGCGGAAAGGGGGGGGAGGAATCTGGGTGAATCCCAAGCTGCACCGGAGCCCGGGGTGCCAGGCTGCTTCAGAAGAAGCCGGTGCCATCCAGGGTTAGCGTTCCCCTCTGGTCTTCATTGGGCCCGGGGGGGGGCTTTAACCCCTTCAGAGCACCGTGTGATAGGAAGGACCCTGGGAAAGTGGGCGGAGGAGAGCAAGCGAGGCTATCGGAGGCTGGAAGGAAAGGCCTCGGTGGAGGATTTGGCGGCCATCGCTGCGTTCAAGTAATTCAAGGGTTGCCAGTTCCCCCCCCCCAACAGACAACAGGTTTAACTTCCAAGTGCCTTCCAATGGTTTTTTTTTAGCCCTTTTGGGAATTCCAGCCTTTCTTGCAATCACGTTGAATGGGCGTGGCATTTCCCAGCTGCCAATCATTCCAGACTCCTCCCACTCGCTCAGGAGGGGAGGGGGCGCCTTCTGTGGGGCTGGGCTGCTTCAAGGGCAGTCCCACCAGTTCCTGTGACCGTGAGGGGATCTAGAAGCTGCCCCAGATCTCTGCTCAGCAGGACTCTGGACGAAGCCAAGAGATCAATCCAGCCACAAGGTTGCAGAGCAAAGAGTGCCCCTCTGCCCTCCCCCCTGTCTCCAGCTGGGGTTCCCAAAGGGGACCTGGGGTCAGTGTTTCAGAGTCCCCCGAATCTGGGTGGCCCTGCCACTCAGTTGCAAGCCCTTTTGGGAAACAGGATTGTTTCATTTACACTTTACGAATCTATGCCTAAAAATAACAAAGAGTTGGGACCTTGGAGGTCTTCTAGCCCAACCCCCCTGCTCAAGGAGGGGACCCCAGACTATTCCAGACAAGTGGCTGTCCAGCCTCTCTTTGAAAGTCTCCAGAGATGGATCACCCACAACTTCTGGAGGCAATGTCCCTTCCACTGATCAGTTGTTCTCACAGTCAGGAATATTCTTAGTTCCAGGTTGCTTCTCTCCTGCCTTCAGACTCTTTGGAGAATAGGTTGACCCCCTTTTCTTTGTGGCAGCCCCTCAAATACTGGAAGACTGCAGTCATGACCCCCCTAGTCCTTCTTTTCTCTAGACTGGCCATTCCCAAATCCTGCAACCATTCATCATTTTAGCCTCCAGTCCCCTAATTGTGGTGACCAAAACTGGATGCAGACTCTCAGGACTCAAAAGTTTTTAAGAACATTCTTGGAACTAAAATTATGTTCAAGAATTCGATTAGTGAAAAAGTTACGCTAAGGTATAATTTAAGACAATGTAACTTGGAAACAAAAGTATTGCTCAAAAATGCCCATATTGGAGCAAGGCAGCCAGCTGAGCATTGAAAGATTCAGCTGGGTTCCTATAAAGAACATCTGGAAGTGACTGGTGTGCATGGCCCACCCATAGCCAAGCAGGTTAAGGTCATATGCTGAGCTGTGTGTGTGTGTGTGTTTCCTCCTGCCTCCAGTCAGGAGCCAGGAATGCCAAGTCTCAGCCCAGCTTCTTCTGTGGGGCATCTCTGCTGCTTTTCAGAATCAGGAACACGCCATTCATTTGCTACCTTGCCAAATATTACCTTTATTGAAAAACATCTCCGATTGTTTAAAATGCTGTTAAAACCACCCGGGACCGCCATCGGCCTCCTTCCGTGACTGGGGCTGCTGGCCTTGGGGAGGGGGGGCATTGCTGGGGTTCCGGGCCAGGTCGCACTGCAGGCTGGCAATGGCCACCGTGGGCCTCAGGCATCCTCTGGGCTCGGCCCCCCCTCGGCTTCCTTCTCCTTGCCTTTGGCCGCCGCTGGCACCTTCTTTCCGGCCTTGGGGGCCCTGGCCTTGGGGGCCTTGGCCTTGGGGGCCTCAGCCTGGCTCTTGGCTTGGCCCCCCTTTGCCTCCTTGGCTCCCTCACCCTTGGGGGGCTCGGTCTTGCCTTCCGCTCCAGCCTTGGGACGGCCTCTGCCCTTGGTGGCTGTCTTGGCTTCTCCTTTGGGGGGTGCTTTGGAGGGGAGCTTTGGCAGTTTGACTTGGAGGGTCTTGGAGGCCCTCAGCTTCTTGGGAGCCTTCCCCTCGGCTGCCGGCTTCGGCTTCGGCTTCACCGGGTCGGCAGCCAGGGCCTGCGGGGAGACGGATGGCTCAGCCTTGTACAGGGCTGGGGGGGCAACCCCGACCCTCTTGGTCTGGGGCAGTTCAGCTCACCGAGGGTAGACACAACCCCCCCTCAAAGGGCCCGTCGTGATCTGGGGCCTTTGCGATGGGCAAGGGAGGAGATGCTGCCCGAGTCAGACATGCCACGTGGGCTTTGGCCAGGGGGCAGAGCCCCGGAAGGGGCCACTGGCACAGCTGGGAGGGGGCTGCAACCCTCGGACTTCAGGGGAGTTGCTCCCTCCTGCCCAGAGGCAGACCACCCTCCCAAGGACTGGGCGATGAGGGAAGGGCTGAGCTCCCCGCTCGGCTTGGGGCCCGGGTGTGGGGACCTACCGGGTCAGATTCAGCCTTGGCTTTCTTGCTGGCGGCCTTCTCCTTGCCCTCGGCATCCGCTGGAAGGGTGGGGGAGAACCTGGATGAGGGCCTTCTCCCCTGGGCTGACCTCCATCAAGGGCCGGGCCCTCGCAGGGCGAAGAGCTGCCCCCTTGCCAGACCCATGGGTGCAGCTTCTGGCAGTGGCACAAGGGGACCCCCCCCAGTCCCCTCTCTGAGGCTGCCGGTGCAGGAGAAGGGGACCCCTTACCCTCCTTCCCTTTGGGGTTCTCGGCCCTCGCCTTGCCCTCCGCTGCCGCCTTCTTCTTCTTCTTCTCCGGTTTTGGGGCTGGGCCTTCCCCCTGGGCAGGCTGGGCCTTCTTGGGCTTCACCTTCTTGGGCTTTACGGCCGCCAACTGCAAAATCGGGGCAACGGGGAGAATTTCAAGGGGGGCACTCAGGTGCACCGATGCTGCCCCCTCCCACCTGTCTCTCCAAAGCCTTTGCAGTTGCAGGCTGGACTCTGCCAGGCCCAAGGCAGGAGATGCCCTCGGCCGTGGCACTGGGTGGGCCTGGCAAGGCCGGGCATTTCTCGCTGCTCATTAGCCAACCGGGAAGGGAGTGGGAGAAGGCTCCCCCCAGGAGGCCAAGTGGGCATCCAGGCACAGGGGACGAGGGCTACGAGAAGGGCTCGGAGCCCTCTGGGGCTTGGGCAGAGACGCCCCCCCCACCCCCCTGCAGGCGGCAAGCAGCGTGTGAGCAGAGCCCTTTGGCTACGGGTCCAGGGCGCCCCCCCCACCTTGAATCTGCCGGTGGCCCCCTGGGCGGAGGAGTTGAGGGGCCGCACCAGGTAGCCCTTCTCCAGCCCCTTGAGCAGCGCCTTCCGCAGATAGTACTTGAGCCGGATCGGGTCCACGCCGGGGTAGTTGTGGCGGATGTAGCGCTTGATGGCCGCGGTGGAGGAGCCCTTCCGCTCCTTGAGCGCCCCGACGGCCTCCGTGACCATGGTCAGCGTGGGCGGGTAGCGGCACTTGGAGGGGCGGGCTGTCCCCGAGGCCTCTGCGGGGGCAGAGAAAGAGAGCCTGCTGGGGGGAGGCGGGGAGCGGACTCCAGCTCCCATGGGGCTGAGCGAGGGAGGGCGCGCCCCGCTCCCCCAGCAGCCTCTTACCTGCCGGAGCCGCCATCTCGCTCGGCCGACGATCTCCGCGGGAGGGGCCGCACCTGGGGCCGCTTTATTGGGGGGGAGGAGGAGGAGGAGGAGGAAGACGGCCGCGGCGGCTCCCCTGCCGACCAGCAGGCGATTGGCCGGGCGGAGGGCTGCAGGTGGCGGCCCGGGAGCCGCTAACAAGCGCCCGGCCTACCTGCCCTCCAACGGGCGAGGCGTTCGGGCCAGATACTTGCAAGGACGGCGCGCGGGGTGGGGTGGGGTGGGGTGGGGTGGGGTGGGGTGGGGCGCGCAAAGAAGCAAGCAACCGAGGACCCCCCCCACCGGCAATGGCGCAGGCAGCGGCGCGCCTGCGGTGGGACCCAGGCCCGGAGGGCGGCGGCAGCGGCCCCTCTATCGCTGCGTCCTTGGGGGTGGGGGTGGCTGGAGGGGGGCTTCTCAGGGCGTCCCTCCTTTCTCTGCCCTTCGCTCCCCAGGGCTTCCCTGCCTTGCTTTGGAACCCCCTTTCCCCTCGCAGCCCCGCCCAGAAGGGACGGAAGACCCTCGCTCGGGCCGCCCCGGGAGGAAGTGGGTGTCAGCCGGGCAGCCCGACGGTTCGCCCGTGTTTTTAACTCTGACCCCCGAAGCAGCCCCTCCAGGGCTTCTCCGGCCGAGGAGCCAGCTTCCCCTCCTCCCCCCCCCCGCGGGCTCCGATCCTGCAGACAATCATAGCTTCTCTTTGCGGGGCGGGGTGGGGGAGGGCCAGCCAGGTGCCAGGGAATACCTCCCAGTCCCATTTACCCTTTGGTTTCTTCAGATAGACTGCTTCTGCCTGAGCAGGTTCCTCATCTCCACCTGGTGAAGATCTGTGGCCCTGATGCAGCTGCACCCAGCGAGGCCCAGGGAGGAGATGGTGGGCACAGGGCGCCTCAGCCCCTAGAAAGCCGGTCTGGGGTCTTTGGGGCTTTCCCCCAGTTGTGCAGGCAGGTCAAGGTGCAAGGCGTCTCCCCGCCCCCCCCGCTCAGCTGAACCCCCCCCTCGGGGCACCTTGTAGCACCATGAGCCTTGCCTGTCTCCTAAGAGAGGAGGGGGCAACTCTGCCCGGTGCCACCCCCGGAGAGGGGCAGAGCTGGGCCAGGAGGCAACTGTCCCCCCTCTCTGGTGTTTCTCTCCCCGCATCCAGGCGCTGGTGGAGCCCCCTCGCTGGCAGACGATGTCGGCCACTAACAACATCGCCCACGCCAGGAAGCTGGTGGAGCAGCTGCGGATCGAGGCCGGGATGGAGCGGATCAAGGTGGGCCCTGGTGAGGCAGCGGGGGGAGGGCCATGGGGGAGGGGGGCAGATGGAAGGCGACCTCCAGCCCAGGGTCGAGGAGCTGGGGGGGTCCTGGTGCTTGGAAGGTGGGGGCAGCCGGGGAAGGAAGACGCTGCAGGCAAAGCAGTGCCTCAGAGGGCACCGAGGGCCCCACGGTGGGGGAGGGTCTCTGGGCCCCACCGAAGAGGGAGAGCAACTTTCAGCACAGAGGCATGCTTCAGTTGTTCCTGGGCCCAAGAACGCCTCTGCACATGATCAGAGGCTATGAATTCCTTGCTACTGCTGCTGCTGCTTCCGGGCCTTAATGCCCCCGAGAAGCCAGCCGAGTTCTGGCTCGGGAGGGTTGCGAGGGAGGGGGGAGTCCTCGCAGCCCCCACCCAGAGCCCCGACCCTTGGGAGAGATTCAGTGTGTGTGTGTGTAGGGGGGGTGGGGGTGGCGGCAGCCGCATTTAGCAAGGCTGAGCCCCAGAAACAGGCGCTACCGTTACTCCCTATGGGCTGATCCCCCCCCCAGGGCTGAGTCCGGTCCTGGCCCACTTCTCCTGAGGTAAGGAGGGTCCACCAAGGAGGGGGGGCAGCCAGGATTGAAACTAGGGAAAGCCTTGCAAGAGAAGAGGGTCGGCCCTCGCCCCCCCATCAGAATGACAGGTCCCTCTTTCAGGGGGTGGAGGGGCTTCAGCTGCAGGTTGGAAAATGAATTAGTGGGAGCCTTGGCCCTCGGGGGGTCTCCCTTCCCTGGATGGGGTTTTCAGCTGACATTTGTCCCTTGGGTCCCACCAAGGAGCAGGGCCTGCCCCCCCTCCCGTGCCTGAGCCCCACAGCACTCACTTGGGGTCTCTCCCTTTTCCTCGGTTTGGGCTAAAATTGGCTGTGGCCAAGCGGGCAGGGCTGTAAAGGGCCGGTGGAGGCCGGCCAGCCCCCCCCCCCCGGTCATTTCCTGGCTCCCTTGGCTGACGTGGCTGCTTCCCTCCCCAGGTCTCCAAAGCCTCCCTGGAGCTGATGAACTACTGCGAGCAGCAGGCCAGGAACGACCCCTTGCTGGTTGGCGTCCCCACCTCGGAGAACCCCTTCAAGGACAAGAAGCCCTGCACCCTCCTATAGCGCCCCCCCCGGGCCAGGCACCCCCAGCCCTGATCTCCAGCCAGGCCAAGGAGGGGGGAGCAGGCCTCACCCTGCCCTCTTGTCTGGTCAGCAGATGGCCAAATTATTGGTTGGGGGGAAGGAGGGCGCAAGGCAGGGCTTGAGGGGTCGTCCTGGCAGGGACCCCATAAGAATCTGGTCTGTCCAGCGCTGAGGATGCCCCCCAGATGGAGAGCTGGACGGGGTCAGGCAGGCAAAGTCCACTGCCAGAGGCCCTTCCGGCAGCTGCCCCTCCCACCCGGTTGAGGAGGGGGCTTCCCAAGCAGAAATGCCTTCCTCCTTTGGGGTGCTCTCCGTCATACCCGTCTCTCAAGCACCACCTCCCCACTGTTAAATTGAGTTTCCTCCCCCCTCCCTCCCCAGTGGCCCCCCTCCACTTGGGCTCCCCAGGGACATTTGCAGGCAGACCCTCCTCCGGGCCAGGAGGGGGGAGGGGTTCTCTCTGGAGGGCCAGTGACCCCAAGGCCACATTCCTCTGTCCCAAGCAGCCAAGAGGCCACTTTGCTCAAGAAAGAGGAGGCCCCCTGAGGGGCAGGGACCCCCGAGTGACCCAGGCCCTACTCCTGCCAAGGCCAAAGACGGAGGGAGGGGGAGGGCTGTGCCCTGGCTCTCCCCAAGAGAGGAACCCCTGGCACAAAAGCAGAAACATGGAGTTCCCCGGGGAGTCCTGGGGATGCCAGCAGGCTGGGTGTGGGAATAGGTGTGGGGGGGAGATGGGGGGTGGCTGTGTGCCAGCTTCTTTAGTGGAGAATCTGCTGTCCAGAATGAGCCCCTCCCTCCCAGGACTGAAAACTACTCTTCTCCAGATTGGAAGGCAGGCTCAGGTCTTGCTTCTGAGGCTGGAGGGGTAGGATGGGATTGGCAGCCCCCCCCCCGGCAGGCCCCTCCCCGTGCAAAGCCAGAGAAGCTCCAGGGCTGCCAGCAGTTTGGTGCTCTTTTTCCCTCGCCCGGAAGTGGTCAGGGGGCGGCTCCAGGGACCCCCAGCCAGCAGGGCCTCCATCGGCTCCCAGAAGCCCCCCTGCTCTCCTGGAAGGCTCAGCCATGGGACCTCTGGTGCCAAAGTTACACACACACACATATACCCCGGTGGTGCCAAAGCAACCCCTGGCGGTCACCGCAAAAGGATGTGGGGCATCTGCTCTCCAATGGTAAAGCTGAGAACATTTGGCCTTAAAGTATCACTTACACCTAAAGTGTTTTTAAAATTATACATAAAAATTTGCTACACAAGATTTTAAAAAGGACACCACACACAGAAAGCCGCGCAAAACTCTAGGAGACAGCAACAACAAAGTGTGAAATTTTGTGAGGCCCTAAACTTGTTTGTCTTATGCTTAAATCCAGTACAGGGCAGTTTCTCTCCCCCCCCCAAAACACACATACACGCGCGCGGGGGGGGGTATTCCTCTTGTGCCAAACTCAAGCAGTTTGTTTTTTAATTCACCAAAGTGACAAACGCATTGATTTAATTTTTCCAAAAAAGGCTCCTGAGCCTCGTTCTTGTTTGCCAAACTCTCTTCCTGTTGCCAAAAAGAGGGGGGGGGTGTCGTCTGTAAAAGGGGGGAGGGAGAGGCCCGGCCTGGCGTGGGCGTCGCTAATTTCCCTTTCGTAAAATCGGTCTCTCTCCCGTGTGACCCGGACTGACTTCCTTGCTAGTACGGAACGTGCTGTGGGGTTCCTGTTTTAAAAAAGTGAAGCGATCACACAAAGAATAAAACCTCACTTTTGCTGGAAACTCTGCTTTCTCTGGGCTTGGGGGGGGGCAGCTCCCCTTTGGCCCCGCTCCGTAGTCTCTCCTTGGGGAGGGGCGCTGGTGGGCGCTTGCCGGGGTCTTTGGGACACAGCCTCCTCCGTGGGGGGGGGGGGAAGCTGCCTCTGCAGTGCTAAGAAGGATCAGAGTAAACGGGGGGGGGGTTCTTTCCTTCCGGCACCCACCTGCCGGGCTCCGGGGTTCCTCTGAAGGGCCGCCAAGGCGCCATTCCTGGGGAGGCCGCTGCTCGCAACAGGGGCTCACCCGAGGCAGGAGGAGACGCTGCCCCCCCCGCCACAAAACGCCCCTGCCGGCAGAATTCGAACTCCGCCCCTTGGGCCCGGGAGCAGGAAAGGCCGAGGGGCGCCTGGTCGACCCTCAGGTGAGCCCACGGCGGCCGCGTGTCCCCAAGGGAGGCTCGGCCGGGCATCTTCAGGGCAAGGCAAACGGGACAGGAATACCAAGGGGGGGTGCACAATCCTTGGAATCGGCCACCGGGGGGCGGGGGCTGAAGTGCCAAGGCCGGGGGTGGGCACGCGGCCACCGGGGTGCTCTCGCTCAGGGGAGGGCCACGGATCCAGGGGAGCGAGGGCGGGGGGTGCAAAGGCTCCCCCCCTCCAAACCGCCCCGGAGCCAAATCCTCGCCGCCGGGCCCGGCGCTCTGGCAGCCTCTGCGGCCGCCCCCCGGCTGCCCCCCGGCGGTGCCCTTCACGCCCTGCCTGCGGTCTCCGGCCCTCCTCGCCCCGGCTGGAGGCAGCGGGCCGCCGGCTGCCCTTCCCGGCCCCTCCCTGGGCGAGCGGCGGCAGCGCCAACCAGCCAGCCAGGCAGCCGGGACGGCAGCAGCAGGAGGAGGCAATTATGGCTCTCGGGGAGCTAAAAATAGCTGCGGAGGAACAAGGCGGGCTATTTATAGCGGCGTCTCTGAACTTCGTCCCGCGGCTTTGCCCGGGGGGGGAGCAGGCAGGAGAAGGGACGCCGCCGCCCGCCCCCCCATGGCAGCCTCCGGAGCGAGGGAAGGCGAGCGCGGAGGTGCCCAAATGCCTTCGCTCCTGCCCACGCCGGTCTCGGGCAGCTTTGCTGGGTGGGTGGGCGGGGAGGGTCCCCTCCTCTGACCGCCGGTGGGTGGGTGGGTGGGTGGGTAGAGGGTGGCGTCGCCACGGAGGCCTCTTCTGCAGCCTCAGCCACTGAGACAGATGGTCGCCCAGAGGGACAAGCCCTGACAGTCCTTTCTCAAGGCTCGGGGAAACAGACACGTGTCTTCGGAGGCCTTCTGAAGATCCCTTTGGTCGCTGGGAAGATGCCCAGACCTCTGTACCTCCATGCTCCACCCGGGGGATAGTCGGGCTTTCGGCCTCTGCGCCCCGGCAGAGCAGCAGGGCGGGGTGTAGAAGAGAGCCCCCCCCGCTCTGCTCCCCCTTTCCTTCCCACCTGGCGCAGAGCCCTCTGGGCCCCGTTCCTCCAAGTGCCCCCCCCCGGGAAGGGAGCAGAGTTCAGCCCGCATCGCCACGCATGGCGTCTCATGACCGCCGCTGGGCTGAAGTCCGGAGTTGCCCCCCCCACACACACACACCTTTTGCCATTGCTCACCTCACCTGATCCCTGGCCGGTGGCTGGCACCGTTTGTCCCTTCTGCTGGCCTTTGGCCAAGCCGTGTGTGCTTTTCCAAACAGCCTCACGCATCAGCTGCTTAGTAATTCCTCCCAGGGTGTTCCTGGTGTTTAGAAAACTAGAACTAAAAGATGTTTGCCTGCTGCCCATGAAAAGATAAGAGGAGCTGGCAACATTTTGACAAATCTGCCTGGTTTTCTAGGTGCTTCTGAGTCAGGGTCTCCACGCTCTGCTTTGCAGTTTTCCCAGATAGGAGTATCCGAGTGTAGGGTTGCCAGGTGTCCACTATATGAGTGGACAGTCCACTTTTTTCACATTATGTTCACTCTCTCTCTCTCTCTCTCTCTCTCTCCCTCCCTCCCTCCCTCCCTCCCTCTCTCTCTCTCTCTCTCTCTCTCTTGTATCAACCTTTACCAATTTTCCAGGGTTTATTTTTTATGCTCTGACACGACATAAGGGTTTATTTCGACCATTGACAAATTCGCTGGAAATTTAAGTTTATTCAGAAGGAACAGGCTTTCCTGAAGCTGATTTTTGTCCCTTGCAAGTGTCCATCCTTCCGTCTGCAATGATCTTCGCACTTTCCAGGTGGCACAAATGGGGGTTGTTGTTTTTTTGCTGAAAAGGCTGAACCCAAATAATAATTCTGCCTTTGCTTTAATCCCGGTTAACCACCCTCCCGTTCCGTTCTAGCCACGCAGCAGCCCGAGAGCAACCCACCGGCTGGGCGCACACAACGCCTGCAGCCCCACCACTCCCAGGCCAGGTATGGGGTGCAAAGCCACAGCGGTGTCTGTGCGCCTCTGGGGATTCCCCTGCGTGCCGGGCACAGAACCAGACCAACCTCTGGCTTCCCTGCCCAACGCCCAGGGCCCTGGCTCAGGAGGCTGGTGCCGGCAAAAGACTCGCCCGGGGAAGGCCCAGAGGACAGGCGCCGGGCAACCCTGGAGCCTGGTGTGAAGGAAGCCTCTCGGACTCAGCTGACCCTGCCTTGCCTGGCTGGTGCAGAGGCCGGGGTCCTGGGCAGGCAGCCGGTCCTGGCTTAAGCAAAGCCAACGGAGGCAGAGGCCTAGGGACGCAGCTGCTGGGGGGGGCACTGCAGGCCCCCTCCCTCCTCCGGATCCCCTGCTGAGCCAGGATGCAGATGCGGCTTCGGTGGGTCTCCCCGAGCGGCTGCGGCCTCTTCTCTCTGCCTCCTTCAGCAGCGGAGGGCAGGGCAGGATGGGCTAGGGTGGTGTGCCAGGGGCCGGGGTGAGGGGCACCCAGGACTGGGCTATAGGATCCAGGCCAGAGCTTTAAGCACCGCAGCCTGGCACCCCCAGGGATGCCCCGTTGGAGAAACACATCTTCTGCCCACCCCAGCCCAACAAATCCCTTTTCCTTGGTGGTACGTACAGAACTGCATCAGCTGTTGGGGGCTGTTGGGAGTATTCCCCCCCTCCAAGAAAAGTGCTTGTCCCTCACCCCCCTTTCCAGCCCTCACCCCCCTTTCCAGAGGGCAGGCCCTTCAGAAACAGAAGAGGGCTACTCTTGGATTCTGCTTGGGCTTTGTCTAGAATACCTGCGGGTGCAATTTTAGCCCACTCGGCCTGGAAGGTTCTTT